TTGATTTGTCTATGATAAAATAGGTTTAAATTTTTGTTGGATAAAACACCTGATAGTATAGTAAACGACAGAGATTTGAACATCCTTGAAAAGTTATCTAGTTATGTCAAATTTTAATGGGAAACAGTGGAATATTTTCCATATAGCATCAATTTAAGTCTTAAAGTGAATTTATGTTAAACTGTGTAAGAGTTAAAGAACATATATGGCAGACTCGCACTCTTAGTAAACAAAATTTATAACAGCCTATTACTTAATGAAGGCCAAGATGATTCCCCAACGAACAGGCAATGAGTGCCATAACAAGAATACATGATCAGATTTGCGACATCTTTTATTTTTATACAAATGAAGGTAAAGGCCCAAAAGAAAAGTAACTTTACTTGGGTGGTTACTGCTTTGGAAACTAACCGATGAAGAATGTGATAATCAGTCTATATTTTGTACAATGAAAACCTTAAAGGGATTTCAACTGGATTTATCTGGCGCGTTCACAGACTACCAATGGTGGAGCTGCATCAGTGCAGCTGCCCCCCCCCCTCCCCTCAAGATATTAGAAATTGTTCTAGTCTCCCTTTTGAATGTAAATTTTTGAAGAACTATATCATTATGAGAATTAGCTTCTGCCCATCTTTCTGAAATTAGAGAATGTTCTGTTTGCTTGGTTTGAAGTTGTCCTCCAGTTTTGTGTCTGGGGGTTTGGGTATACGTAAAGGTGCGGGATCAAATAGAATGCGATGGAACTTCTAGAAACTGCAAAAGGAAAGGTAGTTATAAAAAGTGCTTATCGATATAATGCATCTGCAAGCAGATACAATAGGAAGATTAGCTGCTAATTGGTATCATTCCTGCTACCTTTTGCATTCTGATACCATTGTCAAGTGCCATCAGTTTCAAAATTTCCCTACTATATTGGTGAGAGACGATGAAGCTCCTATTTTCTACTGCAAAGATTTTAAAGCTATCTGTTTTAAGGAACTTACTCAAACCATACTTGAGTATGTTAAAATAAAATATTACTGTGCAAATCAAAATTGGCATTTAGATTCGAAAAGAGCTCTTATGTGACTCTATAGTTTCTCAAGCAATCCTCATCCCCCAACCCCCACCACCACCACCAAAAAGAAAAAAAAAACCTATTTAAAAGGAAAATGAATGATGAAAGTACCAGAAATGGCTACTTTCTTTTCATGGTAGGGGAGGAGTAAGAGACAGAGAGGAGAGAGCAACTGACCTTTCATTTCTTCTTGTGATCCTTTAATCTTGTTCTTGATGATCATTAAGAAAGTGAAAAATATTGGTTTATCAGGCCGTAAAGATGTTTATAGTGGTATCATGTAGACTAAAAAACATTTTCTGGTTTTATTGATTATATTAGTGTACTTTCTCAGGAGATTTGATTATGAATGCTAGAATCTTTATACCTATCCCCTTAGAAGTTCTTCGGTTCACGTATTAGTATTCCTAATAGGATGTGTATTTCCAAACCATAATGATGTAAAGTCTGTTGTAAAACTACAGCACAATGTCTAATGACCAACATATGTGAACAACTCATGGAAAGTCAAGATTATGTTGCTTTTCACCTCTATATGTGAAAGTTAGATTCTTACCCCTCTTTTTGTACCAGAGAAATGCCTCTGGTACTTTTCACCTCAATATAAGTCCTCGATCTGTTGTTTGGCTCATAGAATTACCTTGAATTGTTTCATGCATTTATATTCAACAACTAATCCCTTTTACCTTCGTTGCAGTTGACCTCAAATATGAATTCATCTGGAATCATAGTTCAGCCTTCAATTTTTATCCAGATTGTGCAGATAATCATTGCAATGCTGGTTATGGACACATGGCAATATTTTGTGCACCGGTACATGCACCAGAACTTGTTTCTATACCGACATATCCATTCCCAACACCATAGGCTGGTTGTCCCTTATGCCATTGGGGCCCTGTACAATCACCCACTTGAAGGTCTTTTATTAGACACATTTGGTGGTGCTATTTCCTTTCTCATCTCAGGAATGACTGCAAGAACTGCTGTGATATTCTTCTGCTTCGCTGTAGTGAAAACTGTGGATGATCATTGTGGACTATGGCTTCCTGGTAATATTTTCCATCTACTTTTCCAAAACAATACTGCATACCATGATATTCATCATCAACTCCAAGGCACAAAGTTCAACTACTCTCAGCCATTCTTTCCCATCTGGGACAAGCTTCTAGGAACATACGTGCCATACAGACTTGTCAAGCGACCTGAAGGGGGTTTTGAGGCCAGACTGATCAAAGACTGATTGCATCATTTATTCAGTTTGTTATGGTAAAAAGCTTGCACAATTTGGACCGTGCGACAACCTTGTAAAGGCTGCCTAGATGATTTCTAAGACAATTTATTTGAGCTCAATTGAAGCTGCCAGCTCTTATGCAGTGATTTTGTTTATTCCTTTTCCCATCTCTTAGACTAATTCCCTTCTGCATAGATTTTCAGTTCAAGTTCACTAACCTACCTTTAAAGTTGTATGTTTATCCCTGAAGCATGTGTTGTGCAGTATTAGTTGTTCCATCATTCATAACTTGCTCGTACTCTGGCAGGTTGACAGTTCTATATTGCAGTTTGGTATTTGTAGGACCTTTCCTTGCAGAGGCAGGAACTGTAACTAGAAAGTCTGATGATATTTACATTAGATGTAATTGTGGTGTTTGCCTTTTAATCGCAAATATATTTTTTCATTTTTTTCCTCCTATGTTTACTTTTATGCTAATATTTCTTCTTGTCATATGCACGTCTTTTGTAGTATATTACAGGACCTTCCTCGATCCTGTTTTGTAGAGCTCTATAAGCCCCTAAGTAAGTTCTCTTTCAAAGACTAAAATGTGCACCACTGAGCTTATAGTATATCCCTGACAACAAGCCTCTCATTGGCACAGCTGAGTCACTTTCTTGCAGGCTTTGCTGAAATGTTCTGAAGTGGATCATTGTCCAAGCTTTTCGAAAATTATTGAGCCCCTACTTTCTTTTATTTTCATGTGTACAAGATTTTCTTCTTTAGGAAAACTGCACGTAAAAACAAATCACCTGAATCTTTTGTGTGTGCATGGGGGGAACTGGAGGGAGGGGATAATGGCGGTAGGGAGCAGCAGCCCACAGCTTCAAGTTTTATTTATCAGTAGCCAATGGTTATGGCCAAATTCTTTTATTATTTGATACAAGTCGAAGTTTTTCATTTTTCCTGTCAAAGTTAGGTTATTGGTTATACTTTCGACAGTAAATTTCAGAAAACTCTGAAATCTTTGAACTGATCTCTATTCAAATTTGATTTTCAGTTTTTCCATATATCATATACATCTGCACCTGTCAGTGTAAAATTTCTATACACTGCACAAAATATTAATCGTATCTTTAATATCATTTAATGTCATCATAACATGGTTAAGCAATCAATTCCCTTTGTGTCTTTTTTTTTTTTTTCCCAATTGCAAGAAAGAGGGCATTGGCAGTAGTAACTAAGCAGAGGGTAAGATTCAACAACACAGAAAAAAAAAATTAAAGAGGAACTAATAACGCTTCTTGTCACGAACAATTTTTGGAATAAATTGGGAAACAATCTCTCTTTCGATGAAAACTTTTAACACATAGAAAGGAAAGAAAACTAGTTCAATATCCTGATTACGTAGAGAAAAATCCTGCTGCAGGCAAGTTCTAGACTTTCACAAACTATCATTAATCCTCACAACTTTCACAGCAATTTCCTGTTAGAGTTTTTGTGCTTTTCTATATACCTATTAGAACTAAATCAATATTACAGCACTAATAACCGTCGCTAATGAACTTTGGAAACAACGGGGATTTGAAACAATTTGAAAGGGGACAACCTAATGAACAGAAAAATATACCGTCAAGCAATGATTCCACTTTGAACCTCTAAAGTTTTAACTAATTCCACAAATACTGCAGGCGCTTAACTCTCATTTAAATAGGGATGGCAGCGGGGCGGGGTTGGGGTCCTACAAACTCCCCCCGCCCCGCGTAATAAAAATTTGTTGTATAATTTTAGTATGGTTAAATTTTAGCAAATAATCAAGTACTAAAATATCAATACATCATCAAATTATTATTCATTATAATTTTACAATTGAAACTTATAAAAACAATCAAATAAAAATTATTTGAATACAATCCAACATGATGAAATAAATATAACTAAAGTAGTCAAGTTTTCACTTTTGGCACAAGTACAATCACTAATTCATTATTGTGCTTGTGCTTTTTTTAAGAAAAAAATGTTATTGTATTAAGTGTAATTAGGGATTTAGTATAAATATATTAGTAAATTTAGTATAACCAATTAATAATTTGTATTAGTACACATATATAATTATTAGTATAATTAATAATATCAATTATATTATATATACTAATAAACATTATATAATGCATATAACTAATAATATCATTATCATAAGTTTGTAACTAATTAAATTATATATTATATACATATATTTATTTTATATATTTATTTTTTTAAAGCGGGTGGCGGGGCGGGGGATGGGGCGGGGTACACTCCCCCGCCCCCCGCCCCGTTTCTAAGCGGGGGGAATTTTTTTTCCCCCCGCCCCAACCCCCTCCCCATTAGCCCCCCGCGGGGCGGGTGCCCGCATTGCCATCCCTACATTTAAACATTCGACAAGAGATTATTTTAAAAAAATTATTTGAAATAATATATTGTAGCATTCTTTGTGATACGATACAATGTAAGTTGAATAAATTTTTTTTTTTGATTGCAAATGATGCTAACCAAATGAATTCTGTGCGAAATAATAAAAATGAGTGTTTGATGTATGTATAACAAAATAGTTGGCAACTGTATTGAAAATCATAAGTAATATTTTAGAGTAATAAATATTATATATTGTGAGATAAAAAAATAATTTAAAAAGCGTAATTTATAATACAATTAAAATTCAAAAATTAAAGGTGACAATTGTTTGAATTTTGAAAACATTGAAAGGGGCATGCAGTAATTAGCCCTAAAATGGAAGCGTAAAGTTGTGAAGGCGTACAGGAAAGCATCTAGAGCTTTCCAGCTTCCACTGCTTTTCCTTCAATATTTACCCTTTTGCGTCTTCGCAATTATAAGTTCCCTCAACTCTTCATTACCCATCATCCTCATAACCTAGTTTAACGGTACAACTTCTCCTACCACAGATCAACAATAGCAAAGATGAGGTACAATTATCTTCTCCTTTTGTCCTATTCTCTTTTGTCAATTGTGTACTATTTTGCTTTTTTTGTTTTGTTTTGGATTATAGTTATTTTTTCCATTTTGTGTTCTTTTTATTCTACTTAATTTTGTCCTGTACTTTTAATTAGTGAAGTGCATTTTTTTAGTTCATTAGTTTGGTGGTTTTTTTTTTTTGTGCCGTTCAGTTTTATCTCAAGTTCTAGTGGATGTTCGAGTCAAAACCCTAGGGTTTAAGACTGCTACTTTAACTCCAACTGAAGCAATCAACTCTTTTCCCTGGAGGGTTTTCATTTGCTGTTTAGTTTGTTCCCCATCTGTTTGGAATTTTAATGCAACAAAATGTAGCGATGACTTGGGGCTTTAACTTGTGAATTTGCGTTTGGGGAATTTTCTGTAAGGTTTTGATGTTTTTCTTCGATTTAACTGAATACGTTTTGGGATTTGAAATCCAAAATAGTTGATGAATTTTCTTGCATGTTGCGATTGCGGGTTGAATGCTGTTTGGATAGGGTTCATGGATAGAGTTTGCAAATGAATGGTGATATCTTAAATAATAGTGCGGTGGTGGCCTCCAACCCAGGGCATAGAAACTGAACCAACTAGGAGGTTTTGTAGTTTCAAAAGGTTTATTAAGGAGACTACCATGAATGTTAATGCTTGTATAGAATTGAAAATATTCCATTCATGTTGTTTTATAACCTGATTCTGTATGGTGGTGTGATTAACGAATACCATTTTTCTTGCTAAATAATTCATTAATGAGCACAGCCTGTGATTTTCTATGGGAGTTGTTATGAAATTATCTAAAATAAGCACGACTCACTTGGTGAGGACTTTTTACTTGTTATGTTACGTATTTACATTTACTTTTTCTTATTGATTTTCCTTCCTTTTTCGGTGCTGATCTATATTAAGAGAGTTTGTGTTCTTTGTACAGCCGACATCCTATGGTAAAGTGGGCTCAGAGGTCTGACAGGTTGTTTATAACTGTTGAGTTACCGGATGCTAATAATGTGACACATAAGCTAGAGCCAGAAGGAAAGTTTTTGTTTTCTGCCACAACTGGAGTAGATAACACGCCTTATGAAGTTGAATTCGATCTTTTTGACAAGGTCGATGTAAATGTAGGTGTTGCAAAATCTCTCACTTTGCTTCTTGTATATATACACATTGACGAAGAATGACAATATTTTAAAACTATGTCTTTTAGGAGAGCAAAATTAGTGCTACCTCCAGGAACATTTGTTATCTTGTAAAGAAGGCTGAGAATAAATGGTGGACTAGACTCTTAAAGCAGAGTGGAAAGCCTCCTATCTTTCTGAAAGTTGATTGGGACAAATGGGTGGATGAAGATGAGCAAGACGAGAAAGGTAAATGACAATCCTGAATCCTATATCTCCCGCTCCTTAATTGGTTCCCATTGAAGATATCTCCTGCTTGTTATTTGGTAGTCATGGTTGCCTTTTTATTTTCAGTTGGATCTGACATGGATTTTGGTGACTTTGACTTCTCGGTAAGTATCAAACTAGAATATGTCATGAGTGATTCATCTATTGTTTTTTTGGATATTAACCTGCTTCCATATGTTCAGAAATTAAATATGGGCGGAGGTGGAGATTTTGATGCTGATATTGCTGACAGGGATGAAGGCAAGTGTTCTTATGTTGAACCTTTTGTTTATATAAACTTGCTGAACGGCTTTTGGTTGACAATTGTGGTTGGTATTATGAACTTGCAGGAGATGATGACAGTGACACGGAGGATGAAATTAAGGAAGAAGGAGCTGCAGCTAGTGGTGAACCACATACAGCACCTGCTAGCAGTGAATCAGAAACAAAAGCTTGAAAGGACGGGGAGGAGCAAGAAACTTGAGAGGATCTGAGCATGTCGGTCTTGGTTTTTTTTAAAATTTATTTAGTCATATGACATATGCTGGGATACGCCATCGTTTGACATGTTTAGCTTGTGTGCTTGTTATGGTGTTTTGAATATAATGAATTTAGGCCTTTTAACATGAAGTAGGCTTGTATTAATGTCACTAATCCACTGTGGTTATACTGCTTGTTATACTCTTGAGATCATTATCCACCTTCTTCCTTCTTCCTTCTTCTGGCTCAGACGAAATTTCAGATCATTATCCACCTCCTTCAACATATGGAAATTATTGTATTGCTTTTGTGATTTTTGCTGGCAATGTGTTTTTGGGTTCAACAGCAGGCGTTGCCTTTTGAAGATTGAACTGGCTTACGCCTGACCCTTTCTCTCCCTTTCTAAAGCCAAAGACGATACCATTAGTTGGTCATCGGATTGATAAAAAAGAGAAAGAATAGGGCAACACTTGGTTCTAATCTTGAATTGACAGGTGCTGTTTTAACTTCTAACACGCGGTAAGTTTTTCAAGTGCTCGTAACTTGACGTTCATAACTCGGATTGGGAATGGAAGAAGATGGCAAAGGCAAAAGACAATCAATACCAGTCTTTAATTAAAAAAAGTAGATGTGCAATCGAACTTTTGTTCCTTCCTTGCACTAGAGTCTCAAGAGTGAAGACACGAAACAAGTGCTCATTCGTCTCTGGACCATGAAGAAAGAGAGAGCAAGCAAGCCTACATGAATACAGTGCAGTTACCCTTTCCAAATAATGGTACGATCGCACTTGATAGTTTTGCCCCCTTCTCAGACTGCACTTCTCGATTGACAGAGTAAAAAGAATTAGCCTAATGCTATTCAGCAGTTGCAATAAGCTTCTTGCGAGGACCTGCACTTGTTCTGAAATGCTGTCTGTATATCCATCAATGCATGCGTACGTAGGTAGGTATGCATAAGAGCTTATCATCTGCTTCCAAAATTGTAGTAATTCAATCTTCAAGTAACAAGAACTATCCAGGGACACTTGTACAGCCCACAGACGAGAAATTAAAACATTATGCATTTCACCAATAATCTCTACAAGTACAAGAGCCATTCTTGAATTTGTGAAAGCGAGTTCTGTCACGAACAATAATTTCCCTCTTATAAATCTTCGAAATGAGTTTAATCGCTGTATGACAGTCTCCGCATATTCTTAGATTCTTGTTTACACTAATAGGCACCTCAGCGCTAGTGCTTATCAAAGCAAAGGCCACAGCCAACTTCTCACTGTGATAACCCAAGACATTCTCCTTGTCCTCATGACCTATATCGTGCAACACATTATTGGTCTCTGGCACATATCCGCATTCACTAATCCTAAACCTAATCTCATCAAGCTTCTGATAAATATCCCTCCAATTGGGATGGCTCTGATCACCGTTAATAAATTTATAGATCACACCACCAACTTCAGTATAACTGAATCCTGGTATTTTTTTGACAGCCCTATTTTTCATGGCTTCCCTCACCCTCCCCACATCATTCCACCTCCCATGTGAAGCATAAAGATTCGACAGTAACACAAAGTCCCCACAACTACGTGATCCCATTTCTACAAGCTTCCTGGATGCTTTCTCTGCCATCTCCACATTCCCATAAGTTTTACAAGCCCCTAACAAAGTTTGCCAAAGCACAACATCTGGATATGTGGGCATTGATGCTATAATCTTGTACGCCTGCTCCAACCGTCCTGCTCTTCCTAACAGGTCAACAACACTACCATAATGTTTCACATTTTTATCCACCCCACTTTCCTCCATTGACTCAAACAACTTCAACCCTTCATCCACCAACCCTGCATGGTTACACGCGCACAATGCTGCTAAATAACTCACGCTATCCGGCCCCAAACCATCTCGTTCTAATAGCTTGAACAGCTCTAATGCTTTAACTCCATCCCCATGCATTGCATATGCCATAACCATTGTATTCCAAGTAATAAGTGTTTTCCTACATTTCATGCCACTGAACACTTCAAACGCCTTGTTAACAAATCCACATTTCCCAAACATGTCAATAACTGCATTGCAAACGTTTACATTGTCATCAAGCTTTTGATCTCTAATATAATCATAAATCTTTTCTCCCTCCTTAAAAGCACCAAGCTGTGAACATGCAGATAGTGCTCCCAGGACGGTAACCTCATTTGGGCTCAGCCCATTCTCCCTCATCCGCTTAAAAAACTCTAGAGCTTCATTTGGTCGGTTCCCCTGAGCCATCCCAGCAATCATAGCATTCCAACTCGCAATATCCCTACTAGTCATTTCTTCGAACATAACCGACGCGCAATTCAAATCCCCACATTTTGCATAGGCATCAAGCAGAGTAGTCTGCAATAAAACATCAGCACCCACCCCAAACTTGACAATCTCACCATGGAACTGAAGGGCTTCAATCCGGGCCAATGCGCGAGCGCAGGCCTTGAGGGTGAAGGAACAAGTTAAGGCATCAGGGGTGCAACGGGCACGCCGCATGGACACGTAGCAAGTGACTGCATCTAGCGGTTGGCGGCTTTGGGCGAGGCCGCGGATAATGGCGTTCCAATCATTGGTGGCAGGGTGGGGGATGTGGTTGAAGATAAAGGTAGCGTAAGACAGGCTGCCGGCGGAGGAGGTGGCGCAAAAGTCAAGCAGCTTTGAACGGGAAAAGTAGGATTTGAAAAGGCCGGTGGTTATGAGGTGGGCTTGAAGTTGCTTGATGTGTGGTAGGGAATTGCATTTGGTTAGGAGCTTTTCAGCATAGGCCATGCAACGAAAGAAGCGTCGTTGTGAACTTGTAGCCGGAACTACGCAGAGCGAATTTTTTATGTTGCTGAAATCCCAAGCACCACATTGATTTGATCTTGAGGCTCATTGCAATAATAATAGGTCCAATTTAATGTTTATATGTAGATCTGAAAACTCTCTATTTTGAGCGAATATAAAGATTGACTTCGGTCTCCTTTGAACAGAAAGAGTAAGGACTTCCTGTTCTTTTTCATTTCTTTGACGATTCAAATTTCAAGTTTACGATTGCAATTTATGGATGTATACACAGATATGGCCTGGACTGTGGACATAAAATCTAAGGTCATTATAAACATCAAATTTACTAATAATCAATAGTATTGACAACTTAACAACAACAACATTGATGTAATGCATATTTGTATGATTCTTTGATCTGATTAGAGAATTAATCTTGTTCAAGGCAGAGGAGTTGCTAAGGATATTGAAGTACTAAGGATCGCCCCGCCAAATTTCCAATAAATAGATGAGTAAACAAATGGACATATTCAATGAAGTATGTTATACTCTAGAATCAAGGTCAGAAAATCTATTTGACGGTAAACAAACTTCTCTTCCTCAAATAACCGCAGATTTACGCCATGATTAATCACAAGAGTGACCTACTACCTACTACTTTTATAGAGAAAAATGAGGGCGAAATGGTTTACTAGAATTGGTGGAAGACAATAAATTTATAGGGTAGTGTCAAACTATTGGTACAGATGAAGAAAATCCATGTGCTTAAAAGCACATATAACAGAGGCAGAAAAGAATCTCAGCTATCAGGGAGTCTCATCTGCACCAGTTCAGCTGGAGGCCGCAGGGTACAAACCATTTCTTTTGTTTTCCCAAAATAAACCTGCAGATTCGTGAAGATTTAACATTTTAAGTTTTGTGTCTTTTGAGCAAACCAATCAACAGAAGAGACATTTAAGAAATACAAATATCATGACAAGAACTGAAGGTAACAAAAATCTTCTGGTTCATGTACACCAAGAAAATGACGAGTGTTGATGACCTATTGTAAATAGAATTGCTATACCTGATCCAGAGAGTTTCTAAGTTTTCCCTCCATTTCTTCAATCATTTTTCCCATGTTGCATAAATGACCTTCTGCAACTGAGAGGTCCATGTTCATCTGTTGCAAAATGAAAGACAGTCAAAATCATGATATAAGAAACCTGCATAAAGACCCCTTCTCATCTCTTTGCATCATTTTATACACCTGTGGGATGAACTACGTCATAGCCAAAATGTTTGGCCAAAAAAAAAAATTTTCAAACAACAAATAGCAGTAACTTGAACCTCATAGCTTAAATACCAATTTTTACGGGAGGAAAAATCCAGTCATAAATATACAACCAAATGCAAGCATTAAGATTAAAATAAAAGATATTCCAGTCATCACAACAATAATCATCAAGCCCAAACAATCGTATATAAATTACCTGTCTTCTAATTGATCCGGACAAATTAAAGGTGCCTGATGACTCATCATTTGTGGTCAATGACAACATAACTGTACTTGTCAAACAGTAATGGGCTTTTCCTTCTTCCTCGGGACCCACCTAATTCATATGTATGAGATTTACAAGAGGCATGAAAGAGTAAGAAAAAAAATGAATGGGGGCTTGCTCCCTTTTAATTAATTTATTCATTATAGAAGGTTGCGGGAAAGAACTACCTCAATAACGTGTATGGCATCCCAAGCTCCTTCCTGCAGGTAACCTCTTTTACCATGTGCAGTCTTCGAGCCATCTTCAAGATATTTCAGAAATCAGTTCAAAGAAAGAGCATTTCCCTTCTCCCTACCAATTCAATAGAAACAATTACCTTTCTTTATTAAGAAACAAGCTACAAACCCTTCATTTTCATCTTCCCATAGATATACGGATGAAATTCCACCTTCATAGTACCTAACAACAATTTGATCAATTGAAGATCAAGCTCTAAACAGAGTCAAGATACTATTTATGGCTTGTCCTTTCATGAATCATCCAGAACGAGAAAGAATCTTGCACAAAGCTACTATCAAGGAAACAATTTCTCCTGGGTCTTTCTCAAACATGGAAATTGTGGGGAGCATGGTGTCTTAACATAGAACAGTTCTTTTATTCTCTAACTATAGGATAAAGGAAAAACGAGATAGGTAAAGGTTCTCACTGCTCACGATAGATAGCAAAAACTTCATTTGCTTCAATCTCAAGTTTTCTCAATTCTGGTGATGGATGAGGTCCATCTTCTAGTGGTGGATGATATTTATTTGACCAGGGCGACCTGCAAGTGAAACCAGGGATTTGTAAGACAGTACTTCAGAATATAAATTTACAATAAAAGCTAAAAGACAATATCAGCAAAGGGTTGAGTAACTGAGTTATGCATCTTCAAAAGCCCGATAAAATTCAAATAAGGTACCTAATGCACACTTAATATATGGACTGATGGGGCTTGTCTAGACATGTTACCATCCCAAATACTAAGCTCTAGAACTGGCAGTACAAGAACGTAGATATTTAACCATAGGAAAAACAAAAACTGTGTACTCAGGATGGCATTGATAATATAGATGACAAATAGCAAAAGCAACCAGATACCTTGGACAGGGCATTTAGAACAAATGTCAACAGAGTAATTTCCAATCTGAAGTGTATAATATTCCATTTTATAACAGTGCAAGATAACAAACAGGGAACTTTACCTGTAAGAGTCAGCATCTCTGTTGTATTCACACAATATGAACTCTTTCCCACAGTCCACATCACATAAAACCTGTCTTTCCGAGTAAATGATTAGCATTTGTTCTAGATGAATATAAAGCCCAGCAATAGAGAAGCACCAAATACCTGCATAAGAACAGCAGCTTATAATAGAAAGAACTTGCAAGATGAACTCTTTGCAAAAAAGAATGGCATACTGCAAATTGCTCTATTCTAACAAATACAGCTTCAACCAAACTCTAAAACATCTTTTACTAACCAAAATAACATTTTATTGAGCACGATAAGATTTACTTGAAATGCATGTTCACGTAGAACATCTTATATTAACCAAAGAAGAGCCTTAATCCAGTTCAATTCAAAGGCAGTATTTTAAACTTCTCAATAGAACTGAACCACGAAATTGCATTCAACCTACCCTTAAAAGACAGAAACTATCACTAGAAACAACACACAATGCCAATAATACGTCCATTCATTTTGCTCCTCTTTTAAGTCAAGCAAAAAGCTACATTCTTTGAAGTTAGAAGAGTCTCTGCTTACTACTTACTCAACATGAAGCAAACATAGCCACAGAAAGTGCAGGAAACGAGCACAGAAGATTAAAACCCTAGCAAATTGAACTGCTCAGAAGGAATAGGTGTTCTCATTTCAACCTAATCAGCCGTAAGGCCTCACCAAAAACCACAGTTAGTGTAAAAGGAAAAGCATAATTAACACAAATTAGTTGCAGACTCCATAAAAACAATGACCCCCCAAATAAAAACCAGTAAATACTTCAATTATCTTCATATATTTTTCACCACACAAAAGAGGGGGTAAAAAGCAAAATCGGAATGACCAAATGCAAGAGAAATTTTACCTGGAGAGGCTGATCGACCTGAGAAAGGAGATCGGAGGAATGGTGAGGCAATAGGCTGAGCAGTGCAGAAAGCGCCGTTTCGGTATGCTTGGGCGGAATTCTTCTCATCAACCCCATTGCCGCCTCCATTTTTCAAAACCAAAACCACCACCTCCACTTTCTCTCTCTACATTCAACTGTATTGCTTAATAGCCCTGTATGTACAGGTAGATAGAGAGAAAAGTATTTTGCTCTTCTTCTTAACCACCCCCCCCCCCCCACCCACACAAAAAAAAAAAAAAAAAATCAAAATCGTCGTTTTGTTTTATTCCAATTATTGTGATTTTTAATTTTCGGCGATTTGTTTGATCCGAGCTTCCCTCGCGGGAACCATTTTAGTGGAGAGAATGCTGCTTTGATTACTTGGGAAGGTTACAAAGAGAGCCAGCTTCAGCCTAGTTATTGGACATTTGGACCCCTGTTGATTATAATGGAAATTCGTGAACTTCTTTTTATTCATTTTTCTTCCTACTTAGGAGAATCATATTTGGTTTGGATGTTGGTTCTGATTTTATTTCTCTTTCTTTCCCTGAGAATTTAATTTTCATTTTTCAGAAAAATATTATTGTTTTTTGGAGTTTTTTTTTAAAAAAATGTACTGTAATGATTTAATACATGTTAGGAAAAAAAGTGATTGAAAAAATATTTTCATGAAAAACATATAAATTTTTGAAGAAAAATGGCGATCTAAACATAATAGTTAATTTAACAAAAAAATTTTCAACGAGAACATATTTAACGTCTTTCTTGATTTTTAATATTAATAATCAACTTACCATGCAAGTTTTTTTTCCTTTTAAAAGTGAAACAACGAGCATTTTTTTTTTTAAATGTTACTTCGTTTGTATAGAGCACTCTAGTCAATGTTTAGCAAAAGTGATGCATTGATTAGCTAATCTAATTGGCAACGTTGCAAGTTAAAAAAAAAAAAAAACAATTTGTAACTGGTCAAACGATAATCATTTCAATCAAAATTATTATTATAAGCACTTGTACAGTATCGTTGGCAATTATTATAACCACCATTTATGTTAATGACTTTTGGCTAAGGTCATATGTGAACCCTCGTGCCAGTTATCATCAATCCACGGCCACCATTGGGTGATGGTGAGCTGTTTTGGGACCTATTGGCTCTACTTTTAAGCAAAGATATGATAGCTGTTATGGACGTGAGCGTTGTCAATGAGTGACCATGGAATAAGCAATGGTTGAAAATGAGACGAAGAGGGTTTCAAACCACACCTTTCTTTTGGAGTGTTGTCTTGTTGGACTTGTGCCCAAAAGAAATGGGATATTTACTGAGGCAGATGAAAGGTGCTGTTTATGTTACCTTGACTTGTCATCGGACTAGTCATTGTCGCAAAGTTGTGTAAGACCGTTAAAAGTGCACATCCATCGAACATTTTACGTACGGCGTAACTCTATTTACACATGATATAATTTATTTTCAACAATGTGTAATTTTAAAATAAAAATTTATAAATTCCACACGTGTTATTAAAAACGAGATATAAAATAAAATCTCGCACAATTTTTTTTGGCCAAATTCTAGCCGTGAAGCAAAGTTCCTGCCCCCTCTTCCATTTAGATAGGAGGTTGTCTGAAATATTTATTTGAAATAATTATTGTACCACTTTTTATGATGTAATATATGTACGATAAAAAGATAATTGAAAATTGTTTCTATGATAAAAAGGCAGAACAAAATTTCAATATTTTTTTTTTTTTGCAAATCTTGATAACAAAACAAACCCTGAAATTTAACTTTTAAGAGAAAATTTAAATTTGATGAAAGTAAATACTTGACTAATAGTCCAAGAACTGCTAATCACTTGTAACCGCACAAGTTTTTTTTTTTTTTTTTTTTAAAAAAAATCATTTAAATAGCAGCAATTAAAAGTACTGGATGCAAAACAAGCATTAAGAGAAGCAGCAGCTGCTTGTTCGGTGTACTTATCTAGCTGCACGAGGATCCGCATACCTGTAGATGACAGACACTGCCTACGGAATTTTAGGTAGCTTGCCCGCTTAACCCAAGTTCGACTTTAACTCTCTGACAAGAATGCAGATATGACTACAAAGATTACACTACATTTGGCACCAAAGGCATTAGAAATTCGAAGTACTCTTTTTTAAGTCACTGTTACGACAACAGGATAACCAAAACTAGCAAAAGGAAACACGAGCGGACGCTTGAAATTCTGCAGTCTGGAATAGGCTGGCGGGGAGAGTGTGCGTGCGTGCCTGTGAGTCCGCTAAACTTCTACCCTCATGTTTTACCTGCAGTGCTAAATTTAGCACGCCGCTCTTCATAGGAAGCTGAAAATGTTTCTGTAGTATTAGTTAAAAGGCAACAACAAAAAACTTCGAGCACACAGCATATGCTACTAACATCATGTGAAAACGGAGAGAGGCCCATGGAAAGAAATATTTTGTCATACGTCACTAATAGAGCGTATGCATGAATATTAGCTAACCTGTCAACTAGAAGATGGCTTATAAAAGAAGAATGAAAACAACTGGTTAGCTTATTAGTGTTCAGATTGACATATGTTCAACTGCATTGGTATTGTACAGATTAGCATGAACTCAGGATGCTACTCAAGATTTGTGCCAGCCATATAACCAAAGAAGTCACCTTACTTCCATTTTCTGATAGAATGGCTAAAACCACTAAAATAAAGTTTACATGTTTATGCATCTATATGTTGAAAATTGTTTAGTCTTTTCAACCTTTTTTTTTTTTTTTTTTTTAAGTTAGTATATTTGGGTGGGTGAAGCTAGGGATGACTGGTTGATCCACTGCACAATAAGCATACGCCGCATTATGAAACAAAGATCTTTGATGAATTTTTCAGTTATTGACATCATGAACGGATATCCCTCCAAATAAACTTGATAGAAATGATAAATAAGTCTAGGTTTAATTGTCAAATAGGTGTGTAGACACACAAATATGCGCAGAGAAAAAAGGTGGAAACTTAAATGTCAAATGCATTCTTTTCCTCTAATAAAGTCAGATATTCCTTTGAAGCGCAAAGAGGTTATATAAGATACCCAGGGGTTAATTTTGAAACTCGCATCCATGTTAACCAATAGTCTTCCTTCTATTGTATTGATTTGGCTTTTAAAAAACTAGGCTGGTTTTTTTTCTTGTTTCTCTTTCCAGCAATGAATCAGAAGTGCTCAAATTGCACAAGGAAAGAAGGTGCCAAGTCAATTCAAGCGACCATATTTATCCACTAAAATAATAACTTTAAAAGTGGCAGACTATGCTACAGGTTGGGAGATAATGGAACTTACGTTCGGTGGGCCTTGACATGATGGGAACATAGACAGCTTTCCTATGTTTCAATCTAACATTATTCAGCAAACTGTCATCTGAAAAATGAAAGTTAACTAAGTAATATAACCACGGTTTGGAGTTGTTATTAGGGAAGAGGAAGTAAGAGGGTTACTCAAATCAAACCAGTTTCAATAAGGGAACAGCTCTGTAAAGCCTCATCATATATTGCAGCTTGAAGCTTGTAATTAAGGCATTCCTTCTTCAAGTGCTCATCCAAAGCTTGTTTAGCACCTAAAAAGAAACATTTCATGCTAAGCAAACAAAATTTCCAACACCAACGGTGTTTAGGGTAAATAAATTTTAAAACCAAATACATCGTCGGCTATCATCAGTAGTTCAACTGAAGATGAGTCATGTTTAAAGCACCTTATTGCAGACAAGTATAAGTGAAAAGTTTCACACTTGGATTTCTTTTAGATGTGACAATATGCCTTGGTTCAGCAATGCAGAAACAAAATACTACAAATGTCATAACATACTCTTTAGTGTTAAGTAGCCAAGCTGCAATAACACGCTTGAACATGAACAAGTATGACACAAAATGTATTAACTGGAGCTGAATTAGCATAAAAGAGTCCAGCAGTAGTTGCATATATGTAAAGATAAAACAAGTAGTCCTCAAGTAGCTGATCATGTAATGCTAATCCAGCATAAAGAATTCCAGCTCTAGCTGCATAAGTATCAAACAATAAAACTAGTAGACCTCAAGTACCTGATGAACAAATGAATCTAAGACCTTCAAATTCACAAGATTGAAGAACTAGTGGAATTTCCGAAGCCATTGTGTATTGAGGTTTCCTTGTTGTCTTCTCAATATCAAGTAATAAATCTATAACCTACAAGATAATGCTGTCAGAATGCCTTCTAATTGTAAAAGGTTCGACAATGGAACTCAGTGTATCCTGCTGAATCCCATCATCAGACTCAAACCACATCATACTATCACCAGCACCATTTGAGATTTAAGAAAATTCATAACTTTCACACTGCATGTTTTTACGCACATTAGGAGTTTCAAGGCCTTCTCCGATCAGAAATAGTAGAGCAGCCATGCATCGGATTTGGTGCCACAGGAAAGCACTACCTTTAATTTTTATCGCCCAGAGTTCATTGTCCTCAAAACTGCAAAATCATGGGGACAACAGTCAATGTGACACAAGGTCTGTGGATAGGCACCAGAACTAAGAAAACAATTGTGAGCTTAACTCTCACTTATGGACTCTAATGAGCAAAATAAATGTTCCAAACATACATCTTATTTAAGTTTGCATTCGGTATTTGGGTGGTTTGCCAAGGGGAGTACAGGGATGGACATATAAGGTGAATTCATCCAAACTATAGAGGAAGAAGTGATGCCTCACTCAATGCAACAAGACTTAAAATTATACAATGCCAGTGACTTTGAAACAAAAGATAGCCAAACTAAAATCCCACACACGAATTTGCTACTTCTGATAGCAATATACTCTTAAAAAGTTCCTTCAAGACCTTCAAGAAGCCAAATCCAATCAATCCGAGGGTATCAATTTTGTATGTATCAAAGTGATATTTTTCATTTCCAAAGGAGATGGGACGAATAAGGTTCTTCTACCTGAGGAAATGACATTAAGCTATACCTTTAGTTAAAAATACTAATCTCATTTCTTTATATAAGAATATTTTCTTTTGAATATCTCCACATTTAGTGCAATACCTTTCTTGATGTATTTTCAAAATGCCTTAGGGAGTGCAATTGTTTTCTCCTTCCCCTCAAAAGCTACTACAGAACTCAACTACAGAGCACCATAGAATGTATGAATTTGAAGTAAAAGTGGAAAATTTTTACATTCCGTCGTTCCCTTTTCATACTATGTTGGAGTTCAGACTCAAATGCATACAGGTTTTCATATACACTCAAAGCTTCAAAGACAGCACATGCTTCATCGTTCTATGGAATTAATATCATTTCTTACATATGGATGAAGTATAACTCAAAGAAAATACTCAACAACCAATCAAGCAAATGAAGTATAGATCAAAAATCTTGTACTATCTAAAATTAATATCAAGTTGATGAGAACAAATGCACTTTACATTCTACTACAAAAAAAAATGAGGTGAGAGCCACGGGTTAAAGAGTCAAAAGAGTTAAGAATACACAACCTTTCACTGCAATGGGAAATCTCAAATAGCGTGATGCAACGTCTGAAATTGTGTACATTAATGGCATCCATCTTGCAAAAGTTTCGGAAATCATGCTCACCAAGAAATTTCTTCCCAGCAGTCTCCATTGCCTAGTAAAACATGGTATTGGGAAACATATTCAGAATCCTTCCATCCAGCACAAGGAGCAAACAGCTCAAATAAGTCTCAGAATTTGGATTCAAGAAAATGGCACACCATTATATTAAGATTATCCCTCCAAAAGAAGTACTTATATTGTCTACTTAAACAGCTGAACCTGGAGAACAGCACCAAAGAAATAATCAGAGCAAATTGGGCAGCACGTGGTGTAGAGTCCAATATATTGTCAATTTTGAAATTCCTTGAGATAAGCAAGTTACCATTCAAGGATGGATATTATTGTCCTTGGAATAGGTCCAAACCAAAAAATGACAAGAAAAGAAACACAACTCCCTCTTATCTCCCCCACACACAAAACAAAAAATAGACAAATAAAAAGAGGAGAAATGAAGGCAAGAACAAGAACAAGAAATCCCAAAATTTTTAACCCTCTCTTCTTAATTAAAGCTAATTAAACCTTCTGCATTATTATGTTTAGGCCTTAAGGACCACAACAAGCATAACATTCAGCCAATTAGTTCTCAGCCCTTCATCTCATGCAACATAGTGACATCCTGGCACCCCTAACTTTGTTGCATCATGAAACATGGAGTTAATGCCCATATACATTCCAAATCATCCAATAGTGAGGGTGCTGTTATAGCCACAGAATGGACATAAGAAGCGAAGACCTATTCAGGCCATGGCTATCCTCATATTTCATCTCTTTTATATTGGTCACCATACGATCTCACCCGTGCAAAGCATGGGAAACGTTGCTGTTTTCATGTGCCTGTTCATAACGTACTCAACAAGGTAAATAAATAGTTGCAAATTATTTGAATTCTCAGAAATCCTTATCATGCAATGAAGCCCTTCAACTTGACATGTTCCAAATGAGAATAATTTTTTTTTAATAAAAATACGCATAAAAGTGTAGACCATAGCTTCCATCAGAAAGAGAGAGAAGAAAGCGAGCTTTGCTGAGCTGTAATGACCTTGCACTGAAATCAACTGGAGCAGGAGACCAACCCATAACTTGAATATCTTTTGGAAGGACTTTATTAATCATGCCAACATAGTCCATTTCTCCTGTTTATTAATCATTAGAAATGCTTATTAACTGGCAAGGAAACATATATAGCTAGAAAGGACGTCTACAGTTTGACATTAAGAGTTCAAACTAAGGTGGTATTAAGAAATGATTGCATAAATGAAAAACCTATATCCCTCTTTTACGAGTAAAACTCTTCATTCTATTAAATTTGACAATATTTTGACACACCCAAAAAGTAGAACTTTCCTTCAAAACAAAGAAAGTAACATAACGATCTTCTAAAAACTTGATTCTAAGGTACGATCAAAAGCAAATACTATTCTTTCTGATACATAAAAAAAAAAAAAAGCTGACCACATGATTCTTCCGGCCAAATATCTCCAGCATATTCAGTGTTCCCTCTTGTTTGCTTCAGGTTTGACCGTAAAAACAGAGCAATTACCTGCATCCATATACTTTGAGCTTTCAACGAGTAGAACAATTAAGTGGAATACCACCTTCCAACCAAGAGAAATTGGATGAGTAGTTAAATACAGAAATAAAACAGAGAGAGGTCTTCCAGGCGAAAAAAAAGTAGTCAATCAAAGATGTGGAACTTTATTCAGATCAGGAGATGAACCACAAATGTCAGATATATACAGTATTCTTTACAAAAGTCTGATGTAGAGCCAAAAATATTTCTGTCAAGCTGATTGACCTGTGAAGTGGCCAGCCAAATGAACAATAAGATAATTTCTTCCTTTCTCCTTTTTCTTCTTATTTTCTTTTTTTTTTTTGGGGGGGTGGGGGTGGCACTGGCAAAAGAGGGGAAATATAAAGTAGTTTTCACATTATTTGTGTGACTATTTAGATGAAATATTTTGCCAATCTTCCATTTATCACACTGAAATGCAGCTATCTGTTACTAAAAGGTAACTTGAAGCATTCTAAAACTTAAAAAGGTCAGACAATATGGAGACAGCTATACAAGAACAAAGTGCTTTGAGACAGCTGGAGTCTCATTCACAGAATCATAGCAACAGATGGAGCAAAAGGATTGACAACATACTTGCCCAGTAGAAGAAACTCCTTTGTCTGTTCTACCGCATCTTGAGTATTGTAGTCCCTTCTTGTCTACTCTATCAATGAGCTTTGTCTTCTTAAGAGCTCTAAAAATTTCCGACTGTAAAATCACAAAATTCAAAAGCTAACTACTACATATAAACCACAATCCAATATTGTCTATCAAGTAGTTTCTTTCCCAAAGTGTGCATAAATGGAAAATATCAGGAAAGAATTCTAAAGGAAAAGGAGAAAGGGATAATGCAGCATAAAAAACAGCCTTTTCTACTCTTAACAATTGATAGATCCAAATTCTAGTTCAAACATGCAGCGTAATTGGCCTCAAATGGCAGCAGAACGCTTCTGTATGAAAAAGCAATTTCACAGTTGTTTTAACAGGGAACAATTGCCAACATAGAGCATATTTCAGAAGAACCATACGGGGGATAACCAACCCAATCATTATGGATATATTAGAAATCAATCTTTCTTTGCACTGAGTGGAACTCAAGATTCTACAGTGGACCACAAAGGGTATGAAGTGCAAAACTTGGAAAAAGGAAGGAAACACCCATCATCTTTCAATTATTTGCTGTAAAATGGTAAAGACAATATGCAATTAAACCATCCCACAGCAATCATGCGTTGACAATTCAATATCTCATCTTCCTAGACCTTCCCAAATTAATAATCTATCAATGACAATAAAAGCAATAAAAGCAGTAAAAGAAAGAAAGATGAAAGAAGATGAGAAAAAACAGATTGACTTGACTCATGGATAGAAATATGACAATGTCAATTAAGGAACATGAATCATCAAGTGCTGTTGAAATGAGGAGAATGACTAGGAAAACTAGTGAACACACCTCCACAGTTGGATCCATGTGTGCCTCTGAAGCAAAACCATAAAACCTAAAAGAATCATGTCAAATAGTTATGTTCAATCCATTGCTCATATACAAACATACTATTACGTATACTTCCTATATGGTAGGTAAGAGAAAATTTAAGGTAAAGTGCACCACACCAGATCTAACAAACATACACTTGTAAATGACTAGTTCCTTTTTATTTCAGCCAAGCATTTACACAATTTCCAGCAATAACTCATCAATCATTGTATGGACATCATTTGACAAAAAAAATATTGTATGGACATCAAATTGATTCTTGAAACCACTTGACACAACTTTAGACCGCAGATGCACCAATAAGATTGACTATGAAAAACATGAAAGTATAGCTTGTGCATAGCTTTATAAGGGAATAGTAGAAAAAGGTCTCCTGTAAATATGTGTGCTATTATGTTTTCATTTTTCTTTTAATAGAAGAAATGAAATAAGCATCGAGTTATATCCATCCCTGGAACTCGTACCTCTGACCGAAGTACATAACTTTTAAAGCAACATATCTCCTGGGGAATTGACGCACACCACTTGTCTGGGGACCTGTGTCCAAATATTGAATCAAATCTTATTGAAGAAGGATAAGATTTCATCACACTGCCAAACATGCAAAAGAGGGCCGATGCATCCTAATTGATTGAGGTACAAAAAAAAAAAAAAAAAAAGCCCTGAATATTCCTGCTAAAGATTCCTTTACTTCCCCGTTTAAGGATGTAACTAGGACAATGAGTTGGATTTCAGTGCTTAATTTCCATAATGGAGAACTGAAGACTATTTCACTGGGAGGTAGTTATATTTTAGCTAACATTGTAATGCATTTCACAGCGATAATTTTGAAATATCATCCATCACAATGAATAATCACAGAAAATAGGAAGAGGAAAAAGAGCATTATTCAAACTTAAAATGCAGAAACCTGAATCTTTCTTCGTTCCCCCTTTGTAGGTTGCCAAGTCACCCTCTATTTTTAATTCCTCTAACTCCTCAGCTACAGCACTGGCACTAACATTTTCCTTCCCCTGCAAAGTCATTAAAAAAATCCCACTTCAATTATTCACCTATATACAGAAACAAGGGTAAAATAAAGAAAGAAAGAAAGAAAAGAGGATTGTTAAAGTAAAGCAAACCTTTTGACAATGGCAATTTGATAGCAATGACGACAACTTAGCCTTTTCTGATTCTAACTCCTGAGTTTTACATGTTGCAGACACTTATAGTAGACACAAAATAGGAAAAAGAACAGCAAAAAAGAGCAATCAATTAGTATTCTGACTTCTGGGTACCTTGACTCTTTTCTGGAGAGAGTGGAGCTGTGCTTGTAGAGAGCTGATGAGGTCCACATCGGAGTCGGAGTTTGCGAGATCCATCGTATGTTGCTGTGACTGCTATCTTTTGAAGTTCAAGTGTTCGACGATATGTTTACAAGGAAATGCCTCTATGAAGAACAAGAAGTCAACAACAGAGTACCGGAAGTAGGCTTTTCAAATGTTTGAAAACTGGCGCAAAAAGCTTATATGTATTTCACGGCTCAAGGATGGAGCATAGAAGGCGCGACCTGTAATGCTGAGCTACTTTACGCCTTTGGGTCAGTGGTAGAAAGGCGTGGCTGCATTGATCATTTTGAAGTATCTTCTAATAGCACATAATTCAAAATTGGTGTATTATTGTTTAAAATTTGACACAGCATTTGAAGGGTTTTTTTTTCCCTGAAAAGGCATTTGAAGATTATTCAAGAAAATTCATACCACATTGAGACTTTTAATTTCTCTTTGGTTATAGAATTCCACTATTTTATTTATTGGGGCATCCAAAGTAGGTATTATAATTCCTTTTCTATAAACGATTTCATGTATCAAATTAACTTATGTATCATAGTGTGTTGATATCTAGTTTTTTAGGAATTTATATGTGTCATAATGTGTGTTTGATGACTTATTTTAAATTTTTAGAAAACCTAAACTTAACAATCTTGTAGTTGTGTACATCACTAGAATATTGTAAAAATATGTCTTTGAGCACTTAAAATATAGAATATGCTTGTATTACATATCAAACATATTTATCTTGCAAATTATTTTTTTCAACTTTATTCATCTAGAATAATGATTTATAGGTATGTTATATAAAATTTGGCTACATGTCAAGGATTGCTTTTTCTGGATATACTCGAACCGAGAACTAGATTGTGTAATGATGATACTAAAAATGAATATTTTCCTAAAATGTATGATCCTTTTCTTAAAAGGTGCATATTGTGGAAGAATCAAAACTATACTTTCACTTTCTAAATTGATTGATTGATATTCTATCAATTAGTACTAATTACTATTTCCCAATGTTATCTTCGATACTAAGGTTCCGTTTGATAAAACTGAATCTGAATTCTGAAGTTTGAATTCTGAAATCTGAATACTGAAACAATTAATTTGCTGAATTTTAAACACTGAAAAAATATATATGAATGTTTGAATTTTAATGCTAAACTTATTTATGTTGTTTGATAAATATTTATAGCTGAATGTTTAACAAGTTTAATTTGACAATTTTGCCCTTATATCCTTTCATTCAAAAAAGAAATAGAATCTATGATTTAATTAGTTTAACATTGTTAGGTATGAAAATGACAATATTTATTTTTAAATCAAATTAATATAAAAGATGAAATATATTATATGAGGAGTATGGAGAAGATGTGAAAGTCATTAAAAAGGGAGAAAAGAGAAACTAAAAATCGTTAAATAGAGAATATTATGTTGTTTAATTAGATAAGAATTTTGAACATAATTAACAAACAAGGGTAGATAAGATAAGGTAGTTGAAGTAATTCTATTGATTCTTATTAGAATTAAACATTCAGTTAGGATTCTTGTGCTGAAAAAAATACACACAGGTTCAGCACTGCTTAACAAGTTCAGCAAATAGATTTTTCTTTATCAAACACTCAAAACATCTGAATGTCTGAAAAAAATTCAGATTCAACACTTTTTTATGTTATCAAACAGACCCTAAATAAGATTGATATTCTGATTGATTAGTTGATATTCTATTGCTTATTTAATTTCGCAGAGGTTTATTAATGGCAAATACTTGGCCATAATTTGTGAAGAAGGGGCATAGTATTAGAGCATAACCAAGTATTTGCCTTATTAATTCGTGAAGAAGGGCATTAATTTATAGCCAAGTGTAGAGCTCAATTACCGTTTAGAGCTCAATTACCGTTTCAGTTACTTTGACCACCGAGTTTCCCGGGCATAACGTTTCAAAGGCCATTCCCAAAGTGCTCTCTCATTCGTTGGATGAAACAAAAGAGAAACCTCAGTGGTCTCCGTAGGATAACTGGACTGATTCCAACGACCGATTCATAACTCCCACCGAAATGCCTAAAACAACTTTCTTGAACCCCAATAAACTTGTCAAACAATAATTTGTGACAGAACTCTACACTGTCCAAAACTAGACAAGACAATTCTCCAAAATTCTCCAAAACCTCATTGAATTGGTGAGCTTCACTATTTCCTTTTCTTTTCCTACTATTTGTCCGTGCTCATTTTCTTTATGGCAAACTTGAATTGTGACTCTGATTTTGTAACTTATACTTTGTTTTCATCTCGAATTAAGAGAAAGTATAAAACACATATGTTTTTGGTGGATCCCAGATAGTATTTTCTTGAAATTTTTTGTGCACCATTTCCTTTCTGAGAAGTTTGATGCATTATTCGTTACAGCATAATTTCTTCTAAAAAAACAGTGAAAGAAAGATTCTTTTGGTAGGAAGTAAAAAGGTTCAAATGAGACTGCTGTTGAGAAGGAACAGAAAAGGATGAAATCTAATTTCATCCATTTCTATGAAACAGTATTCAGGGGAAAGGCTGCGCTGTTTTATGTGTATGCAATACTGTGTGATTGGACTGGAGATAAAGCAGTGCCTCGACGAAAACATTAGTACTGCTATTCTGAATTCTGGAACATGATTATGCTTTAAAATTTAAACAGTTGATGCACTCGATATACATCCTTTTTATTTTATTTTTTTGTCTCCTTTTCTTTTCTTAATCTAAGGATACAAATTACAGATATGTAGGAGGGAAGAGTGGTGAAATTTTAGTAATGTAGTACAGGAGAAGCAGGGGAGGTTGAGAAAACAAGAGAAGAGGAAATGAAGAAGAAGTGGATGTGCAAGAAATCGACTTCCCAATATTTTTCTCCTCATTTTTTTGCCCTGAAGTCATTAGGTGTTCGATTTCATTGATCATTTAAAGGTGGATCTGAATATGAGAACTCATAGATGACGTGATAGTAAACAATATGTAGCATACAAATGCTTAATTTAGCATCAGTTTTTCTTGCCATTTATCAGCTAGAAACTGCACGAGTCTAGTAAGTGCTTCTGATGTTGATAATGCCTGTTAATTTCAGGATTCCAGGGAGCCCGGCTTTCACGCCATTCCGGCAGTGGAATACGCCTGTCACTGGTGCTATATCAATTTTCTCAACTACTTCCTGTAATTATTGTAATCTTCACCTTAATCACAGCCTAAGTGAAGTCAGACATTCCAAAGACTCAGCTTCCTATTTTCTCAGGAGATACTTAAACTACCTCTGATTTCAAGATTCTGAAATCAAGTTGAACGTTTGCTAGCTTTATATACGCTGCAAGTCGACTTGGTTCTCTCAAGTTGTTAGTGCAATCAGAACTCACCCTGATGGACTTCAGTGATGGGAATATGTCAAAGAAGCACCGGGAACAACACCAATCAGCTTCGGAGAGTGTAGATCTTTTATCTCTTTCCACTTTGCAGATATCCACATCTCGAAGGTCACCACGATCTCCAAGGTCTCCAAAATCTCCAAGTTCACCACGATCACCTAATTCTCCTAGATCTCCTCATGGTAAGCATGGGACAAGCAAGAAAAGTCCACTCAAAAATCTGAGACAGTCACATTCTAAAGGAGATGGCCGTCCAAAAAAAGGTTGGAACATAATTTTTTCTGGCGTTCTAAGTTGAATCATGAGTTCATAACTTGAGGACAATCGTTTTTAATTTTTACAGTATAATTTGAATGAAAACCTGCTGAAAACCTTTTTTTTTTTTTTTGCATGGGGCAAATCACTTGGGTGATTTTAGTAGTGCATTAGACATTTACAATAGCATTTGTTATTTCTCTCTTGCTTGGTTCTAGATTATTTGCTTTGTGATCAATTAATATATGCGGCTTCTATTGGTTAGACACTTGTTAAAGAAATTAGGCTTTAAAGCATGCTTAAAGTTATTCCCTTCATACTTCGGATCACGCAGGTGGTTGTGGAGGAAAAGGAACATGGGGGGGACTACTTGATACGGATGATGGCCATGTCCTTGACCCAAATGATCCAAATTACAGTAGCACTGAGGTAACTGCCTTTATAATGCTGCATATTGTATTGTAGATCAAATTCTGTTCTCTGTCTCCACTCTTCAGTCCACTAGTAGTGTTTTGCCAGTAATCGTTAAATTCTTGATGCCAATCATGAAATGAAATTCTTGGTTTCAGGAAAATGAGCAGTCATTTGCTACAAAAGTAAATACATCATTTGAGGAGTACAAAAAGAAGGCTACCATAATAATCGAGGAATATTTTGCCACTGATGATATCACCTCAACAGCCAATGAATTAAGAGAACTTGGAATGCCAAACTATGATTTTTATTTTGTCAAAAAGCTCATCTCTATTGCAATGGATAGGCGTGATAAAGAGAAAGAAATGGCTGCTGTTCTCTTATCCTCACTTTATGCTGACATTATTGATCCTCAACAGATGTACAAAGGTTTCATTAGGCTATTGATGGCTGCTGATGACTTGATTGTAGATATACCAGATACAATTGATGTTCTTGCATTGTTTCTAGCTCGTGCAGTAGTTGATGAGATACTTCCTCCTGCATTCTTGACAAAGGCATTTGCGTCCTTGCCTAATGACTCAAAGGGATGTCTTGTCATCAAACGAGCTCAGAAGAGTTACTTGTCAGCCCCTCTGCATACAGATAGCATAGGTCGGCGTTGGGCAGGAAACAAGAATAATACGGCTGAAGATTTCAAAAGCAGAATTAACAATCTATTGACTGAATACGTATCAAGTGGTGACAAGAAAGAGGCTTACAGATGCATCAAGGATTTGAATGTGCCTTTTTTTCACCATGAGATAGTCAAACGAGCTATTATAATGGCAATGGAAAAGCAGCATGCTGAAAGCTACCTTCTGGACTTGCTGAAGACAGCTGCTGAAGAAGGTCTTATTAATTCAAGCCAAATTTCAAAGGGATTTGGTAGAATCATAGACAATGTAGATGACTTGTCACTCGACATTCCGAATGCTAAAAGGATATTGCAGTCATTGATTTCCAAGGCAGCATCAGAAGGTTGGTTGTGTGCCTCTTCTCTGTCAGCCCTGTCGCTGCAGCCTGGAAGGCAAACAATAGGAGATGGTGTTGTAAAAGCTTTCAAGGTGAAGGCCCAGTCAATAATTCAAGAGTATTTTCTCTCTGGTGATATTTCAGAAGTAATTCACTGTCTGGAATCAGCAAACAGCTCCTCTTCAGGAGAACTGAATGCGATATTTGTCAAGAAGCTAATTACTCTAGCCATGGATCGGAAAAATAGAGAGAAAGAAATGGCTTCTGTTTTGTTATCGTCCTTGTGCTTTCCAGCTGATGACATTGTGACTGGATTTGTGATGTTGATAGAATCTGCAGATGACACAGCCCTAGACAATCCTGTTGTCGTTGAGGATCTAGCACTGTTCTTGGCCCGAGCAGAGGTAGATGAAGTCTTAGCACCACAAAACTTGGAGGAGATTGAAAATCAATTTTTGGGGTCAGGCTCAATCTGCAATAAAGTTACTCAAATGGCAAAGTCCTTGCTGAAGGCTCGACTTTCTGGGGAGCGGATTTTAAGGTGCTGGGGTGGTGGAGGAAGCTGCAGAAATGGGTGGGCAGTTGAAGATGTCAAGGACAAAATAGGAAAGTTGCTTGAAGAATACGAGTCTGGAGGGGACACGAGGGAAGCTTGCAGGTGCATTAAGGAGTTAGGGATGCCATTTTTTCACCACGAGGTTGTTAAGAAATCACTGGTGATTATTATGGAGAAGAAGAATGATAGGTTGTGGGGTCTGCTTAAAGAATGTTTTAGCATGGGACTAATAACCATGAACCAGATGACGAAGGGGTTCATGAGAGTGGCTGAATCTCTTGATGACTTAGCTTTGGATGTACCGGATGCTAAGAAACAGTTCAAACATTATTTTGATCAGGCAATGGTTGAAGGATGGCTTGATTCATCATTTGGTTTATATCGATCAGAACAATCTTTGGAGAATGGATTTTGTTAGTGCTATGAACTTATCTTTGATCTTAGTTAATTAAAGGAATTCATATGTGTAAGAGACTGCCCCACTCTCACTGATTCTCAGCTAAGAATCACAGGACAAGATCTAGAACAATACTGGATTTATGTTTTTTCTCCTTATAGTTTCTGTTTTATGCTCGGATACTTCTTCTTTATTCTTGTTTCATGGTTTAATTGCGAGGATTTGCGGAGTTACCTCTACAACTAGACTGGAACATAGGATTTTCACTTTCTTTTCTTGTGTTAAATTAGGGATGGAGATTTAGACTCTGGATTGTTGAATTTTCTTCCCAGGTGGTATGCTAATCAGATATCTTGAACCTTTAGCATAAAAGTTGGCACTGTTGCTGTTTAAAGTTCAATATGCACCAATGAAAAAAAATTAAATTTACATTTGCATTTCTGGCAACTAAGGATTGATTATCTACTTGATCATTATGTCACTAATAATAGAAAACTAGCAAAATGAGGAAACACCTTATTCTTTCCTGGTAATTGATCTCCAGAAGTATAACCGTAGAGCCTAATGCATGGTTGATTTCCTCCAATTGTTTGTGAAAGCAGGCGTCAGCGTCAAAGCAAACTTGACACCTTTGCTCCCTAGAAAAGATGAGGAGAACTTAAATTAAAGTTTTGTAACCTTAAACACTATGATGGAACCTTTTTTCTTAGAAAAAGTGTAGTTGCATCTTTTGAAAAAGATGATGCATCGAAATCAAGTCTTAACATTTTCAGCAGGTAGGAGATTTCTGTCTTTCTTTCTTTTTTTCCTTTTTTTGGGTGGTGGTGTTGCAGTTAGAACGGTTTATTGGCAACACTAGTCATAGTAGAATAATTATGAACAATATTTTGTCCTTGGAGGCACCCTGCGTTTTTCTTTCCAAGAGATTATTAAATTCATTGGAAATTAAACAGGTACAAAGTACTTTAATCGGATGGATTTTTATAATAAAAAACTTTAGTCCTGCCTTAATACAAGGCAGGCGGTTTATAATTCTTTTTGGAATACTTGTTAACTATTTTGACATGTGGATGAAAGTTATAGATCCTTCATAAAAATTTGCAGAAGCTAATTGCAAGGTCCTAATCTTCCCGTATAGTAGATTCACTGTTGACAAACGAAGCAGTTATACAATTCAAAGCCTAATGCATCTCCTTAAAACAATTGTTGAATCGTGTTATATATCTAATTCACCCTCTTCCTATCTATAATCCTGGAGGGGATTGCTCAAAACTGTTAGATTGAGAAAAAACAAAAGCTTCGGGTTTTGGCGGAGCATCAGGTGATTCTTGAGCACTTGGCCCTGAAGGAACAAGCCTCTTAACCTTAAATGCAGGAGGAGAATCCGGTCATTCTTTTGGATTTGGTCCCGAAGGAACAAGTCTCTTAACCTTAAATGCAGGAGGAGAATCTGGTGTTTCTTGCACATTTGGCCCTGAAGGTACTAGTCTCTTAACCTCGAATCGACTGGGAGGTTCAGGTGATTCTTGACCCTGAAGGAACAAGCCTCTTAACATCATAGCTCGGGGGAGAATTTGGTGATTCTTGCGCGCTCGGCCCTGAAGGAACAAGTCTCTTAACCTCGAATCGGCTAGGAGGTTCAAGTGATTGCTGACCACTTGGCCCTGAAGGAACAAATCTCTTAACATCATAGGGCGGGGGAGAACTAGTGATTCTTGCGCGCTCGGCACTGAAGGAACAAGTCACTTAACCTCGAATCAGCTAGGAGGTTCAGGTGATTGCTGACCACTTGGCCCTGAAGGAACAAGCCTCTTAACATCATAAGGCGGGGGAGAATCTGGTGATTCTTGCGCGGTCGGCCCTGAGGGAACAAGCCTCTTAACATCAAAGCTAGGGGGAGAATCTGGTGGCTCCTGGGGATTTGGCCTCGAAGGAACAAGTCTCTTGACCTTGAAAACATTTGCTTTTGGGAGGGAGTTGATTGCAGGGGTACCTGGTGAAGTTTCTGGATTCGGTCCCAAAACAATGCCATTATGAACATAGAACTTTTTTATCCCCCAAGAAACTAAAAAATGTGAAGGAAAAATATAAAAATTTTTTTTTTACAGAAGAACACATGCATTAATAAAGTTTTAAGACTTGTAAGATAAAAGAAAATGCAAAAAGAGAAACGATAAATTAAAGCAATGGAGTATACAAGTGAATCATATAGCATATTTTAAGTTCTCTTAATTAAACAAATTGTATGTGTGTGATTTACTAGGTTCTCCTTTTCTTTTATTTGATAAATAAATTTAACACACTTTTTGTGACTTTTGGCACGATGGTGATTGGTGAATTACATTATTTTGGCGACAGAAGAATAAATGTCATTGGAAGATTTGTAATATTTACTTTTAATTAGGAAAAATGTTAGGTATGTCATTGAGGCCCCTTTAAAATAGTTGCGAAATATCAAAAAAATTAATGCATTTATTAAGAAGATTCTTTCTTATTCATAATAACGTGAACAGCCCATAGAAATTTCCTTATAAAAAAAAATAACACATGAGGCCCTTCTTAACCCCTTGGCCAAACCAATAAATGCTCTATAAAAGATATGCATAGTAGATTAAGAATCAATGATGATCGAGAAATTTTAGCAAATTAATTAAAAGAATTATTATTGCAAATATATTAAAAGGGAAGGTAATAAAATAAAAGTTATCCACGTTACTCTCCAAGAACTAATACTGCACAATCTAACATTCTCGGCTGAAATTGCCATTAATTATTTCTGATTTGCTAATGTAATGTAGTATAAGTTGGATTTTTTATATGTTTTCCTTAGTTAATTTTATATTTCAAAAAATCTAACACATGAAATATATCTTGATGAGTATCCGTTAGATAGGCCGATTTTCTTTATTTGGATTGTGCAAAATTAACAAGTTGATATATAATACAACTTTGGCGCAGAAGGAACTTCATGATCAACCTTCGACTTATCCGACAGAGACGTGCCTCTAGGAGGAGTACCTGGCGATTCTTCAGGATTTAGGCCTGAAAGCATGCGATTTCAACAGCGACCTGATCCGACGACGACCGCCAGGTGACTTCTCTGGATTTGGCCCTCCAGGAACAAGTCCTCCAACCTCACAGGCATTGGATTTTGTTAGGGAACCATGTGTAGGTTCTGGCTGCTCAACACTATCCAGCTCTATTCGAGATGGCCATTGCACCATAATGGGGTGGAACCAAACATATCAGCAGAAGAATCATTGCTGTAAACATATGGGATTTGACTTCGACAAGATCCATTGATTTACACGGAGCTCTTGCCTCTTTCTTACCTTGTCAGATTTTTGTAGCTGTTCTTGCCAAGTTCACCGTCTGATGGTAAAAGTTTCTAAGCCAAAATGGGAAGATCTGCTTAGGGAAATGCTTTCAAGTTATATATCTCTTCACTTACCAGTTACCATACAGTAATTGGAAAATAGAATTGATTTTATGGTTTTAATCACTACTATCACCGTACAAAAACGTACGTATCTACCGTTTATGCAAACTCACCTTACTACTATTATCACAATCATTTCCCAAAATGTGCCATTAATTATTCCTCTGTCATTTGTTCACCATAAAGCCAGTTCCACCCTTTTTAGCCAATCTAGTTTAAATTTTTTTTAAGATCTTTTTTTTTTTTTCATAACTGCAAGCTGTGTCAATCTTGATTTTGGAGTTTTAAGTATTGAATCCTAATTAATTGCTTCCATTTACTATTGATTTGATTTATGCTATAAATTGCTTTATGTTCCACTTTACAAATACTAATTGAAACTTGTTCCACGTTTGCTTAGTCTCAAATAATTTATATTTAATCCACGAACAACCACTACTACCGTCTATCAATTTCTTTGCTAAATATACATTTTGAGTCAAGTCAAATTCCCCCAAGAATGAAATAGAGATGGGAAAATGCCAGTTTTTACTCTTAAAACTCTGGGTCATGAACAAATTTTATCATTGCACTTTTTAGCATAACATTTTTAGTATTTGAACTATCAAATTTTGATCAATTTTATCCTCAAATGGGAAATTAATCAATTTAAAGAAAATTTAGAGTTGCGAATAAAGGTATTTGAGTTGGGAAAGTGAACATATCTATTCAATTTTGCTGATTTTAAGTTGTGTAAACCTTTTTAATTAATGGGCAAATTTTCATTCAAATTGATTAATTATCCGTTTAAGAATGAAATTGATCAAAAATTGATAATTCAAATACTAAATGTGTTGCTCCAGAAATTTCAAGGATGAAATGTATCCGTGATCCAAAATTTAGGGACCAAAATTTGCATTTTCCCAAACAGAGACGTAAAATATGAGTAATTGTTCACCCAAAAAAAAATGAAAAAGAAAAAATAGTAGCAATGTTAGTTTTACCACCTCTCAGCTTAAGTGGGCCCCCGCACGAACCAATTCGAAAGGCTTTATAAAGTAGTGACAAACAGAAAACTCCTCCTCTCCGACATCGGCTTGCCGGCAGAAAAATAATTTCGGATGGGAGAAATCGAAGAGGAAGCCGCACCAGCAAACGCCGACGAGTCATCACCGTTATTATCGGACCCGAATTCTCCCCATAGGATCCGGTCGGTTAGAACGAAGGTGCCCGAGGTCGAGGTCCACCTCTATAAGCTTGGGAAAGGCCCCATCGACGTCTTCAAGTCCAGCCTCAGTGGGTGGGACCAAGACCAGTTGGAGGTCCGCGATATTCTGGACAAATATGGGTTCAAATCCGTCTATGCTTTCACTCCTGGGTCAGGTCGCGGAGCCCCGATCCGATTTAATCCCAGAAATGGCAGATCTTTGCTTTCTTACAAAGATGGCTCCGTTGTTTACCTCGATGGACAACCCAAGGTAATTTAAACTACAATTCCAGTATTACTCTAAATTCTCGTGCATTGCTTTTTGGGATTTTTAAAATTTTTGTTGTTATTAGTATTATTACTATTTTCATTTTGTGATTGATGCCTTGATGGGCAGTAAAATTTCGTATAGGCATGAATTGGGATTTGAAATTAAACTGAATTTGTTACTGTTCTGGATGTGGTGTCTATCTTATCAAGCATCAAATTCGAAATTTTAGTGTTAAAAAAACCATGCTAGAATAGATAGTGTTTAGCTCCTTAATATGTGTTGACAGGTTGCAGTGGAGTATAGCGAATGTAATTTGGGGAAGGTTGGCAGATAATTATGCAATTGCTATCTTAATGAATAATTTGATTGATGATTCTTTAGAAACAAAATTTCAAATAGTCTAAATAGCTCAATGGGTTAGAGCTTGGGCCTACAATGAAACCTGTTTTTTGGGTTTTAAAGGGCAAAAAAAAAAGAGAAGAATTTTTGGAAGGGGAAGCATAAACTTGGGAGGGAGAATAGGGAACAATGAGGAAGAAAGGCCCTTTAGCTACTGGGTAATACTTGACTCTCCACTAAGAAGCCTCTGTTTTGCAGCTATGCCACATTTACTGAAGGTTAATTGGAGAATTGTTGGCTTCCTAAAGATTATTTTGACCTTCCTTCTATTAACATGTAGATACATGAACATTTCAAAATCTTGGATCGATATGTTTGGTTAGTATCCTCAGAATTGCATAATACAATTTTTATTTATTCTAATTTCATATTGTTTCACGGAATATTAAAATTAATTTTTTTTATGAAAATCAGTGGATCAAGAGACTGGAAAATAAAAAAAATAAAGAGAGAACAGCGGTGCGGTTCCCCTTCAAAGAGCAGAAATCAAGTAGAAGATTCAACACCCCCGCCCTTTTTTTTTTGGGGCGGGGGGGGGGGGTGCATAATTGTAGTCGTTTTTAACCTTATGGTCTTACCTCATCTATTCATGCTTAAAAAAGTTGATATAGCTTTGAAAATCATTATTCATGTGTGCTCTTTTATGAGACTCTTATGGATAGGTCACTCGTGAACAAAAAATTTCTGCAACTTAAGTTTCTGGTTTATGCGTATCATCTGGTTTCTTAAATTTAAATTTTCTTTCAAATGGTTTGGGAACTTCTCAAATGCAGAATTGACATGTTACGTGGCCAGGGAGTTGAAATGATGTAAAAAAGTTTCACTTATATAGGACTACTTTGAAGATGGTGGCGTGTGTCTATGGCTAAGTTGGAAAAATGGTTCTACATCAACTTGTTTCATTCTAAATGGAGCTAGGGGTGGTCATACAAGCCTCCTTTGTGCTAGGACAAGGAGTAAAATGAAACATTACTCGAAATATAGCAACAAATGAAGAGAAGTAAAAATAAAAAAGATGCCTAGAGTAGTGCTAAATATCATTTAGTCTTGTTCAACTTGGAGTTAAATTTTCATGTTCAGCTTTTGAACTTCCGGTTGTTCAAATTTTGATTGTTATTTATTCTAACCATGAAAGACAAATCCACATTAGATTGGAGATAGGGGCATGATTGAGGGGAGTGGGCAACAACCTCTTTCTCTGTGGAAGAGGAGGAGGGTGGGGGGGGGGGGGTTGGTCCTGTGGTGAATTGAGATGGTAAGTGGACAAGCACCTCTTTTCTGGTGGGAGAGAAGCAGGAAAATACGAGGAGGACACAATAGGACCGACTTGCAATTTCTTGATCCTTAGACATTTTGGGAAGGACATAAGTTGTAGCAATGGTATCTCGTAATAAAGCTCTTAGTTTGATGTGCGGTTGGATAATCATACAGCCTTTAAGATGTAATCTCGTGATTTCTTTTCTCTTGCAGGATACATTTCTTGTCATACCAAAATGTGGTATCTGCTAAAATAGCATTAATAGCATATGTAGCTAACGTTTTCATTTTGGCCATATAATCACCAAGGAGCAAAGCTTTTCTTAACTTAAGAAGAGAGCTTTGCTCTGTTTCTACCTTCCCCCCCAAATCATACTGAAAATTAATATTTGGTGCTTTGCTTTTTGAAAAACTTCCCATATGAATTTTGTGTTTTTTGTTGGAATCCATGCGTTTGCAATTGTTTTTTGAGTGCTATTCATCTTGAACATCTGATAAGCATGAAACAGATGTAATAATTAAGGATTAATCTTCCATATACTAACGATTTATACACTTTCACCATTGGATGCATGACACATAATTCGAATTTGAATTTAAAACCTAAATTTTGCATGTGTGTTGTGCATCTAACTGTAATAGTATATACACTGTCAGTGTGTATAAAATTTACTCAATAATTAATTGACATGATGCTTTTATAACATCTTATTTCAGGACTCTTTGGTCAAACCAGTTACGAAAATAGTGTCCGGGGTTGCATTTATAACCGCTTTGATAGTATTTGCTATCAAGGAGGCCCCGCCAGATTGGGCAAGTAAGTTGAACCTTTCAGGTGGTCGTATTCCCCCATGGATCCTTGCTTGCGTGGTTATTGTGTTCACCCGCATGAGGAAGAGAACCAGGGATTTTCTGGAAAAACGTGGCAGATGAATTGAAGCTTTCATGAGTTTAGGCAAATTTTATTGGCGCGAAAATTTTCAGTTCTTAAACATTTCCATGTTCCAGCTAGTACTAACCATCACATGGTGCTGTTGCTTAGATTTCCTCAGAAAATACAGAGAACCTTCCCCTGTTGCACTCATTTACGTATAAATAACTAGTTTGGGTACTTGCAGATTGATAATTTATTTTTTTCCCCGAGATTAATAAGCAGAAGAAAAGTTTAACCACTTGTGCTACTTTAAAGGTATTAAGTTGATCGATAATTCTTTTATGCCACACTTAACCGGTACATAAGCATGGCAAAGGCAATCAATCATGCGTTAATAATGGCAAGAAAATCGCGAAGCCATTGGAATCTCAGGTTCGAAACCTCTCACTTGAAAAAAAAAAAAAAGGGGGGGGGGGGGTTGATGATAAATTGATATTCTCATGATTGAAACGTAATAATCACTTTCAAAAGGATCTTAAACCTGAACTATCTCGTTGGTATTGTATTTGCCCTTTTTAATACACAGGATGACACAAGTGAGGTGGGTTCCTTTGAAGTATAACTTACACTAAGGAATAAGGCAAGTACTTACTTGCCTTCCACATTTGGTATAAAAAGAATGGAAGTTAAAGCATAATGATAATGCATTCATCCAAATCAAGTGCCTCTTTTATCAATTATTTCTAAAGATCTCAACAAATGTTTAAGTATTTCCTTCTACGAGTTTAGGAGCAATAT